CGGCGGAAGAGCTCGCGGACGGGGTCGCAGTTGTAGACGCGGAAGCCGGAGTCCGTGGCGACGGAGAAGCAGCCGTGGTCCTGGTTGAAGGACAGATGGTGGACCTTGGGGATTTGGTTCGGGTTCAGGTTCGGGCCTGGGCTTGGGTATTGGGTGGAGAGAGAGTGGGAGTCGCCGGGTTCGGAATCGGAGGCCGAATTGGGAGGCTGATGTGACTGAGGCTGCGGGTGCGGCATGTTGGGTGTGTTGAGTAAATCAGGAGTCCAGTCTAGAAGGACGAATTGAAAAGGCGGGGAGGAGACGGCGGTCATGGCCTAATCAAATTACGGTGGCCGGCAAGTGTTGGAAATTTGGGATTTTTATACAAATTTTAGGACAATTGAAGATTTTTGCTGTAAAGCTTTGGACTTCGAAGTGTGCAAGAAAATATTTATAGCTCATGCAAAATAAATAGTTTTTAAATTCCGAATTTGCTATGAACATATTTGCTTTACCTTCTCAGTTTATGACACGTAAAATGTTTTGACAACAACCCTTGTTTTTTTATTTTTTTATTTGTTTTTAAGGAGGCTAGCTGGTATCTTTACTAAGGCAGTTAATTATTATGAGGGTTGTGAAGATTCATAGAGATGTTTTAGTTTTTTTCTGATCATCATCGGTAATTCATGAAAGTCAAAAATTGAACCCAAAATGTACTGGTGTGAAATACATGCTTGAAATTTATCCTCACTGGGTCACCTATGCCTATTTGGTTTAGAAATTATTAGCAATTCAATGGAAATCTCTCAAAGTGAGAATGTCTATCACATCATTTTTTTGTACATATTTTATAATATTAACAAGAAAATTACCATTAAACAGCGAAGTGACAAAAAATAAAGGGTAGTTTGTTGAAGTGACAAAAAATAAAGGGTAGTTTGTTGATTACGGGTTTGTAATTACGTGCTAAATTAGCAAAAGACATTATCTATGTTGTAGGCTTCATAGCGATAAAGAGAGATCTATCAACTACCAACTAATTATTTAATCAAGTATATCAATGGGTTTCATATTCAAACCGTCCCAGACATCCACTATTACGTGGTTTTGTTTTGTTTTTTTTTATAAAGGAACCAGCTGATGGTTTGACTACGACAATTCATTTTTTTGAGGACGAAGAAGACTCACATAAGTATTTCAGCCTCTTTCTAGTCGATATCATATAATTCACCGAGTTACAAGAATTAAACGCATGACGTACAGTGTGAAATAGGAGTATGAAATTCGTCCACAACCACTAAACCATTTCATAGGAGTTCTATTACGTGGGTTAATTATTTGAGATGTTCCTTTCCCAATGAAAAAAATATTATTAGAATAATTTTCCTATTTTTACTAGGAAATTCTCACTTACATGGATCTAAATCCTATACGAGTCGGGAATTATATAAGTATTCAATTTTGAGGGTAATATGTGAGATAGATAATATATGAGATTGATAATATGTGCATAAGCAATTCAGGGTAGAGATTATATTCTATTTAGGTTGAAACTTGACATGGATGGGCAAACCATCAACCAAATCTAACTGAATAAATAATGGGGTTGAGGTAGGGTTGGGTTTGGGCAAATTTTTAGTTTGTTCTATCTCGTATGTTCATATTTAAAATCAAGTTACGCATCGATGGATTCGAGTTGACACAACTCAAAGTTGCACCCTTAGTGAGGAGCAAATTTTTACTAGGAAATATCCTATATAAATTTGGTAAAAGATGATAATAGGTAGACCAAATTTTTAGAACAAATTTGTAAACTGTATGATGTCACATATTTGAAAGGGAATTATTATTGACACTCTTAAAATGTTTTTTTCTTTCTGAACATAGAGAGTTTTGACCACAACATGAGAATTTGAAAAACCAATAATAATTTATATATGAAATTAGCACGTTAAAACACTTAATTCAATTATTAACAATCACGTTATATAATTTATACAATATAATTTAAATAGAATGGGGCCTCCAACATTACCCGTTTGGCAAATATGTCCAACAATTATGCAAGTGACCATTTTTTACAGTGGTGAAAAAGTGTTGAGTCCCTTACATGATGACATAGGTTCAAATTTCGTCCATAACTAATCTAACATCTAATGTAACAAAATCTATCGTTTAACCAAAACAAAAAAAAACTAATGAAAATGGCTTGAAAACTTTGAGTTTTAACGATAAAAACAAAATAAAAGATAAAATGAATAGTATCAATGTTAACTTTTAATGTAAAAATATAATTTTTCCACTTTTCGTTATAGTAAAAAAAAAAAAAAAAAAGTCCAACACTTACAAATTTTCACCCTAACAGCCACTATTTCACTCTCCAGGTTGAACAAAAAATCCCCAATTCTCCAAAACCATCTCCAACTAGGATTTTTTAGGGTTTAATCAAATTCCATCTACGCTTCTCGCCTGAATCAATCTCTACTGCTAATCAATCGCAATGGCTCGTAACGAAGAGAAAGCGCAGTCGATGCTCAATCGATTCATTACCCTCAAAGCCGAAGAGAAGAAGAAGCCAAAAGAGCGACGCCCATACCTCGCCTCCGAGTGCCGCGATCTCGCCGAGGCCTCCAGATGGCGGCAACAAATCATGGGGGAGATCGGCCGGAAAGTTGCCGAGATCCAGAACGAAGCCCTCGGGGAGCACCGGACCCGCGACCTCAACGACGAGATCAACAAGCTAATTCGAGAGAAGGTCCATTGGGAGCGGCGGATTGTGGAGCTCGGAGGCCCAAATTACGCCAAAAACGCCCCTAAGATGACCGACCTCGACGGCAATATTGTCGATGTTCCAAACCCCAGCGGCCGCGGCCCCGGGTATCGGTACTTTGGAGCGGCGAAGAAGCTGCCCGGAGTCAGGGAGCTTTTCGAGAAGCCTCCGGAGCTGAGAAAGCGGAGGACGAGGTATGATATATACAAGAGGATTGATGCTAGTTATTATGGGTATAGGGACGATGAGGATGGGATTTTGGAGAAGCTTGAGGTAGAGGCGGAGGAGAAGATGAGGGCGGAGGCGGTGGCGGAGTGGAAGAGGATGGAGGAGATAAGGCGTGAGGCGAGGAGGGCGGTGAAGAGCGGGGAGGTGGTGTCGGCTGCAAAGGTGAAGGAGGTTTTGTTTGAGGAGGAAGAGGAGGTGGTGGAGGAGGAGAGGCAGAGGGAGAGGGAATTGAAAGAGAGGAGTGAGCAGGAGAGGGAGTTTGTGGTGCACGTGCCGCTGCCGGATGATAAGGAGATTGAGAAGATGGTGCTGGAGAAGAAGAAGAGGGAGCTGCTGAGTAAGTACACCAGTGATGAATTGATGGAGGAGCAGACCGAGGCTAAAGATATGCTTAACATTAAGCGCTAGACTTTCGACCGCCAAGACAGAGTATGTTACTCATTCACTGATAGAAAGTTGTTACCTTTTCGCTTATCAAATAGTTGTTACCTGTGTTAAGTATTTGTAAAATTTTTAGATGATGAAACATGTTCGATTTGTCACCGAGGAATTGTTTTTCGAGGAGCTGCAGTAGTTGTTATTATCAATTGACTTTTACCAGTTTTGTTTGCCTTTTTTTTGCTGTATCTTGTATTCTTTGATCCAAGTTTAATTAGTTTGTCATTGCTACTGAGTTCATCCGCTGACCACTTTCGTTTTATGCTATAAGCTCCGGAAACAAAGAGCATATCGAATGTTTAGGTTGTATGAATGTGGTTTAGGAGTACAAGTATAAGATTTAGGGTGTCTAAAAGTGTGTAGGTTTGGGTGCAAGTTCTTTGAAGAAGCAACCACATTATAATCATGTCAGGCATGGTCTCTGCCTTAATTATATAGGTTTTCTGATGGTTGAGAAACTTCGTTTCCTCTTTCGGACTTAACACCTTATGTTGGACTGAGCTTCTTGAAACAGTCCAACCTCTGAAATAGAGCAGTAGAGTCGGAACACCTTTGCAGTTTCTATGTAAGTTGAGGAATATGCGTTTGAGATTACTGTGTTTTGGAACTTGAAATAGCATATGCTTGGAACCAAGATGGAGGTTTTATGAATTGTTTGAACTATTGTGTTGGATTGACAATTTTACAACTGCAAGGCATGATGATAGTCGTTGCCGATTACATCATTACCTTGTTAATTGGTTCTGCTACACTCTACTCCGTAATAAACTGGGTGGTTAACAGATAGACTGACGAGTAAACCGGGTGGTTAACAGATAGATTGACGAGTAACTGAATGGTTAACAGATAGACTGATTGTATATGCGGTTACTAATCTTCTGTATTGTTCATCATCATGTGACTTAGTTTAAGTTGTGGTTGGTTAAGTTACGTTGTAATTGATAGAAACCAATTCGGTTTCTTTGTGCGTTGCTGTTAATTTTACATGTATGAGGTTATTTTGTTGAAATTGTACATTGCATCGGTAGTTCGTAGCCAAAGAAAGATGTACATAACATTCTCAGCTTCTTGATCCCCGGCTCCGCAAGAAACAAGTCTTTAATCTTTCTGCTCAGATTGCTACCGCATGCATCACAGAGACCTGTATATTGGCAGACTGTCCTCCGGTCTTTCGTTCCGAAAGATGTGAACTTCTTTCGGAGAAGACCGGCCTTGGCCTGCATCGAACGCAGGCCACCATAGCCTTGCATCGAATCCTGCTCCCCGGCGATGCAATTGTATGCCTGATCGTTACTGATCCTTTGATTGATTCAATCTAACGGCTAGAAAAATATATACAGCTGAATGTGAAAATCATTCACCAGCAGAAGAATTAAAGAAAGAATTGGTCCAAAGATGAATAAATAGGGAAATGAGTAAGTCTGATAATTTCTTGCACGATTCGATAATTCAACAAGAACAATAGGTTTTTGGTCAATCTATTAACGAATCGAGTCATTATTAAGTTACCTGTTAAGAACTCGTTAATGATTTAGATCGTTATTAGATTAAACGTTAAGACCCGTTGAGATAACGAGAGTAAAAATTACTGTTAAGGCAGAAAATCCATTGATGATTATTCAGCATCACAGACATTAAACGCTAAAACCTCCGTTTACATTATTATTTTATGTACTCGCACCAAAAACCAAAAACTACAAGGAAAAAAAAAACTAAAATAATTACAAATTAAACAAATTTAAAACACCAACAAAAAAAATTACTAGAAATCAAAGCCTCCACCGAAGTCATCACCACCGAACCCGCCATCGTAAGCACCCATCTCACCCACATCACTAATCATATCCCCAATCAACAATCCACCCAGCAACCCAGCTCCTACACCCAGCGCCATGTTTCCTCCTCCCCTCTTAGGCTTCTGCGGCCGCACAACTTGCTGCGGCGGGTACCCATACCCGGGCTGAGGCAGGTATCCGTTCCCGGCCTGTGGCGGTGGCGCGTACCCGTAACCCGGTTGCTGATGAGGCGGTGGTGGGTACGCACCGGGCGGCGGGTATGGGTAAGCTTGGGCAGGTGGGTACCCGGAGCTTGACCCGGGGTGTCCGACAGGATAAGCCATCACGGGCTCATGGGATCTCTTCTGGGGCTCCGGAACCGAAAACTTGTCCCCAAATTTGTACCCGAAATTGATGGTCCCCTTGGACTTTCCCCTCGACGATCGGACGCTGTAGCTGACGTGCTTCATCTGCTTCTTCTGAGCATCGCCGCCGCCCATGCTGTCGAGCAGCTCCTTGAGCGGAATCTTGACCTTGCCGATCTTGGTGTCTCCCAAAGTGCGCTCGGAGACGAGCTTGATGTTGAGGGTGAGGCGGTTGTGGAGGAGGGCGGCTTCGTCGACGGTGAACTTGATGGGGTAGCTGTTCCATTGGGGGTTGGTGCCGCCGTCCTTGACGACGGGGGTCTTGGTCTTCTGCTTCCTGTTGCGGGGGTCGCCGGCGACCGAAACGAGGGCGTAGACGTCCATCTTGGAGAAGAGGTTGACGTCCTTGAGGCCATTGGCCGAGTCGATGATTACCTCCAGAGGCCTGCAATCCATGGCGATGGTTGGATGGAACTGAATTTCTTGAGAGCTGTAGGAAATTGGAAGAAGAAAATTGAATTTCTGGAATTCGGGAAGTGGAAATTGTGGATCGCTGGATAGAAATGTTGAATTTATAAAGGGAGGGAGAGAGGTTAAAGACAAGAGCAAAGGAAGTTTCTACGAGCAAGGGAGTGAGGGGTCAAGGAATTTAGAACGTTGTAATATTCGTTTTAATTTCGGCTTCTAGTATTTCCTAGAACATTTGTTTACGCGGATCTTGAGTTTCTCCGGTGCGCGTGCCGCGTGGTTTGTTGATTTCTTGCTTTCTTTGGTTTCAAGGAAGCGTGACAAAAAATTAAAAACATGTATTTCCAACCTAGTTGTTTTATGCCGTGCTATTTAAAAAAAATATATATATATATATATATATATATATATATATATATATATATATATATAGGGATCCCTCTTGTTAAATGATTCTATAACTTAACATATCGTGTGGGCAAAAAAATTATACAAAATGCCAAATTACCACATAAATAACAAATGTTATTTTGATATTTAAAATTTGACGTTTTATTTGAAAATGCTCTAAATATAGAAATCATTTTTCACTGATAATCATGATATAATATTATTAAAATTGAACATCGTATAATGATAAATCCATTTTATATAAATCCTCAATTCATAAAAAAAAAAAAAAACCAAATACAAGAAATAATCCATCTGACAAGAAGAGAATCTAAGAGCTCGTTTAGATGTGCATTTAAAATGACTGAAAACGTTTCTAGATAAAATATTTTGGGTTCCAAAAGTACTTGAAGTGCTTTCTACAATAAACACTAGTTATGTGCTTCTTCCAAGAAGCACTTTAAGTACTTTTCCAAGATTTACTTGTATTTTTACTAAGAATTGTTTAAAAAAATATTTTCATCAAAAACGCTTTCAATCATTTTAAATCATATCCAGACAAGCACACGTCATTCCATTGAAAGGAATTTGATCCCTTCCTGAGCAAATGGTGGGAATCCTTATGACCACATAACACCGGCCTTTGAATTTTGATCCAACGACTACAAACAGGGAGTCCCTCTAAAAATTATAATAATTATAATTGTTGAATCAAAATTCAACAGCCCGTGTTATGTGATCATGATGATCCCACCATTTGCTCAAGAGGGGATCCAATTCCCCATTGAACTTAAAAGTGAAAACACGTAAAATGGGGACGTGGGCGTCGCTTTGGTCGATGCTATCGTCATATATCATCGTCACCCAAATTCAAAGGATATTTTGATGATATGGCGGCTGCAATTTGAATGGAACATGAATACAATTCTGACCTATAAAAAGCCAAAAAAATGGTATTGAGGTTAGGAATTGGAACCTCTCCTGAACACAAGCTCAGGATCTTCTTGATCAACTCACGTGAGTTGTTGGATTTTGATCAAACGGTTACAATTATTGTAACTTTAAAGGGACTCTTTGTTTGTAACTGTTTGATCAAAATCCAACGGCTCACTTTGATTGATCAGCAGGATCCTGAGCTTGTGCTCAGGAGAGGATCCAATTCCTTTAGGATAAGCTTTCACCTCCACCGCACACGCCTAATGTCATGTTGGTCCTTTTCTCATTATTCTACCCTCCTCCACATCTCCAACTTTACAACTTACACCATTCAATTTATAAGCACCAAGTAATTCAAATTGTTTGGAAAAATAATTTTTAAGCTTTCTTTTTCTTGTTTGCATTCTTATTTTTAATTATTTTTTATTTCATTTATTCAATCAAACGATAAAAAAATTATTAAAAAAAAAACCTAATTGAAAGATATGCAAATACCTAGGTTTCGTTAAGAGTACTCATTATCGCAATCGAGCGTTTTGAGTTTTATTTCCTTTCCCCTATATCACTTGTACAAAAAAAAAAACAAACGGTGAACTATAACGCACACCACGTAAAAATCACCCTTATCGATCAACATGTAACATCTAAGAATCTCTTTATATAATAGCATCCACTGTGTCCTCTTCAAGTTTCTCCTTTTGTCCATTATAAAAGTTGGTGATGAGGTATGACCAAAAGTAAAGAATTTGGTGGATGCTAAGATATTAGAAACTAGTAATGTTCTAATTAATTATTAATATTGCATATTTAATAATATAAGCAATCAAAATACGTAAAACTGTATTGTAGAGGTAGACGTGATCTGTTGCATACTTAATTGCCTCATGAAAAAAGTTTGTCATTTTAGTAGATTAGGCAAATCAAGTAGGCAAAATTAAATTTTATTATTTTCTTTGATCTTAACGTTTATTTTACCTTTTAATTTTGTCATCTTCCTCTACATAGAATATTTTACCATAAAAAGATACGTAAAGCTTCATCTGCTTACTCATGGTATTGTAGGCAACATTGTCTACTTTGGCAACGTAGGCAAAGTCTGTAAACTCAATTGCTTATACTATACCACTAGTGCTATTTTTTATCTATGCGACTCATCAAAATAGATTTGCCTACTCAATTACCTGCATCATTTGCGACCCGTAGAGCTATTTGGAATAATCCCAAGTCCACAATGCATAGCTTAATTGGTAACCATATATTTAATCAAGTCACTTTCTTTAGTACAAGAAATTTTCTTCTCCTTTCGTTGTCTTTTGTAAAGTTCTATACACTTCTATGACACTAAAAAGTGCAGAGAAAATTCCTTGGATATAAAGTCGACTAGTCGTTTTGCAAAACCGCACAACCAATTTGTCAAAATCATTATACGCATGAACAAACTTTCGCGCACACACAAAGCATCCAACCCCTTTTGTGTCCGGTGCCTAATACGACATTCGGACACAAAGCTTTTTCGTTGGCCGGAATGCTGTATTCTGGCCAACGGACCAAAAGGCAAACCAACCCTAACCAAAAAAATGCAAACAAGATGGCACTATCAATATCATATCATCAGTACAATAGAGTATTCAACTTGCAAAAACTACATGTAAAGTTGACGCTGAGTCTACAATTTGCTTTGTAACGTTGGCTTCTCTCCCTCTAACAGCTTTCGAGCCTTACGCTGTGTTCAAATCTCGTTGTTGCGGGCTTATAGCGTAATAATTTTTTGAGGCTTCTTCGTCAAAGAGGATGGTACGGCAAATAGCCAAGCAAGCCCTGCACGTTGGATACAACGTCGCTGCAACTTATCAACAAGCTAAGCATCTGCTGCGAAATATCGACGGTGCTGGTGGGTGTGCTTGGAAATGCGGTGGGTGGTGCGTTAAGATTGTGACTAGTATTTCTGGGTGGTGCCATTTCGGAATGCTGCGGAAAATTACTATGGGGTGGGGGGTTTGCATATTGCGGAGGTGGACCAGGAGGATTTGGGAGGAGAGGAGGCAATGGTGATGAAAAAGTTGGAGGAGGATTGACCTTTTGAAAGTTCCTAGAGGTATTAAAATCCATAGCAATGGAAGAAGTAGAAGACGGTGCACCGTCGACGTCCGCAAAACTAGCGCTGTTGTTGTTCTTGTTGAAGTTGTTATTTCTATTACCAGGCATCATGAATTGATCAGAAGTAGTAGTCCTACTAGTTTCTTCCCTACCCAACATGAATTTTACACGTGCAGTCCCTTTACTATTTCCATTCCCACCGGTTACCTGCCCTCCTGCCGACTCCTCGCCCGACGACTTCTTCAGAATCGACTTCAGCTGCACTGCACTCTGTTGAGCCTGCCGCTGCTGCTGTCTGAGTGCCGATGCCAATGCTGGTGATTGCCCAACCAATGGATCCTTAGCCCGTGGGGTGTCCCTGGGATTGTCACCCTTGTCGAACTCTGGAACTTCACCCACTTCTCGAATTTGACACCTCACACTGAAGTTGCCGAAAAGGGAGCTGTTTGCGGTAGCAAACTTAAATGCTGCATGTGCATCAGATTTGTACAGAAAGACAACCCGGCATGTCGAGGACTTCCAAAAGACACGGAGACCAGACTGATCCATAGGCCCAAATCGAGCAAACTTTGCCTTCAGTTCTGCAGGTGATGGGAGAGAGATTTTGGGAGGGAACTTCAACACCAGCATTGTGGGCTCAACTGCCTTTGATGCAAGGTCCGCTTTCTTTGCAAAACCTGGCTTGAGTGACTTCCGCATAACCGGTGTTGCTGATTCCTTTGCCTCTACACGCTTGGAGTCTATAGGAGGTCTCTGAATGGCCTTCTTTTCTGCAGCCAATGTTCTTATATCAGTAATTTTCTTGTTCCTCTTAGCTGCAATATCTCCTTGACGGTCAGATGGAGCACGTTTCCGCCCAGCAATGGTAGGATCATCGGATCTGAACATGGGTTTTGCTGGCTTTGAGGACGATAAATCTCTAACTTGCTCAGTAGGAGATATATCAGAGGCTTTGACACCAGATGAAGATTTAGAGGAGCGGCCTTCAACAGGTTCAGTCTCTGAGGGTGGTGACAGAACCAAACTTTTCTGGTAGACAAGGGACCGGAAGTGCAGAAAGAACTGCCGAACAATTGTAGGGCTGTTTGTCTCAATACCGTGAAAAGGATCAAGGGCAAGGGCCTTCAAATCACTTACCAGTTGTGATAGTTCAAGCTGCACATTTTCCAAGACATGAATTGGCAATTTTCCAACAGATTCAGACAAGTTACTACTGGAAGTGACATCTTTCTTATGTTCAACTGGGGTATCCTCTCTTGGAGCCAAACCTACATGGTTGGCATTTCCTGCTTCTTTACTCCCTGAGGGCAGTACCTTTCCAGAAGTCAAAGGCTTCTGCTGATTTCTAACGCTTGCTTCTGCACTTAACTGTTTCTTTTTCTTCTTCTTTTTATCCCCCATCATAGAGTCCTTGGTGTCCAAGTCCTCTGCAGGCCGTTTAAGAACCTTCAGTTTTTTCACTCCACCAGCAGCTTTCTTCCCACCTAAACTCTTTGCCTCAATTGGCAAAGGATCTCCAACACCACGTTCATAGCCTCCTTCCTCTTTTTTCAAAGAATTAGAAGGTTGTTGAAGATTTTCAAATGATCCAGACAATTTTTCACTCTCTTCGTATTTAACCTCAAACACACCCTCACCTTCCTGCTTTAACGGTTGTGATGTACCATCTACTGTACGTTGCTTGGTCCCCTCCCCCAATAAATCAACATATCCTGTAGTTGTAGGACCTACATCACCATCTCCCTCTTTTACTTCCTGCAGATCCC